AATATCAAATAAAGCAATTTTTAATTTGTAATAAAGTTAATAAGTTTAATAAAATCAATAAAGTTAATAAGTTTCAATTTTTATACATAAAATCCTTAAGTAAATGTGTTTCCCTCACTTTAAAATAAGAGGTAATGCAAATTTTTAATTAATTCAATTATTAAAAATATAGTTTTTTGGGATATTAACATACTTTAAAGATTTTGTAAAATTATCAGTTTTGTTTAACTCGAACCAAGCTGTTAGATGCATCTACCATTTCTTTATTACCTTTTCAAGTTTATTTTCTTCGAAAATTAATTTTTGTTTTATTCTCAAGGTGCTCAGCAGATTTACAACTTTGTGACTCCTATCGCAAATCGGATATTCTTGTACTCCCCATGCTGCTTCCATGGGACTTAAATTGACAATAAAATTGATATTTATTTCCTCAGTCCTTGGACAATCGAGTGAAAGGGTACGGAAAAAAATAAGTGAGTCAGAGAGAGAAAGAGAGAGAGAGAAAGAGAGAGAGAGAGAGAAAGAATATACAGCGAAGTAGTGATTTTTTACTGCCATGTATTTCAAAATTTTTGCCAAGCGAACAAGATTCAAATAGCCGTACAAATTTTCTAAAGTGGGATAATTTCGAGTGGCAGCACAGTATCTCTTATTCAAGAAAGCTGCTTTAGTACTTGCGGGGAGTCGTCATCACCCAGTAGGGAGCAGACATTGCCATCAGATACGAAGTTTGAAATTTTTACTAGGCACAAAGTTTAAAAATAAAATATATAAAACGGTAACAAATTAAATACATAAGTACATGCCAACTTTTACAAAAAAAAGTATCTAATCCGGATAACACTCCGTGTCTGTTGTGTTATGAGGAAAAATACGATAAGGTAAATATAATATTTTTATAACAGAGAACTCGCTTGCTTATCAAATTATGAATTTTTTAATGAAAAAAAGCGTACTCAGTATGCGTATGAGAAAATTTTTTAATGTAGTACAGTAAATCAATACTAAATAATTAAAATTTTAACTCATATTCAAACTAATATCATGTGATCTAATATCAGAACTCTGTTAAATTCTCTGTCTAAATTCTCTGTTTGTTTGGTATTCATGGATGTGCGAAAATAGGAACTGTTTTCAACCTCAAAACTTTATCATATACAGAAGTAGCGTACGTTGGTAGTAATACAACCTCACTAAAGGTTTAAATAACTTTTAATAGGTTTTCTGATGTTGCTTAATGAATTCTCGTCATTAAATATCAAATACATTTTAGCAATAAGCTCAGTAACATGCTATCATAGTCTGATTTATATTACAGACAAAGCTTATACAAATACAGTGAAATGACGTCTTAAGATAGAGTTTTATGTTCTGTGCAGCAAAGCAGCACATACCACATACTTGATTTATTATTGAGTTATATAACACGTTAAAGTTGTTGATTTGGGGTGTGAGAAAATCGCAGTTGATCTGAAATCTATTAAAGATTATATCCAGTGCACATATCTTCACAGCATACTAAATAAAATAATTTGTTCTTACTAAGGTGGTTTTGCTAAAAACGGCTGCAGCTATGTGAAGCATTTCCCGAAATATTCTAGATAATACTTTTCACGTAACCGTGAGACTTGCGATGACAAGGATGTAGTCAAACACCCGAAGATAATAGGGAGCGTAATGACAATTCAATAAGAGTATGGTTAAAAACCATCAAAACTACGCCTTAACAAACATTGCAGTTTGAAAAATAAAATACACAGTATAAATTTTTAAGTAGTTAATTAGCTTCTGGGTCAATTTAAAATGTTTATGTTAATAAATAAATAAACGGGGTAATAAAAATTGACGTTATCTTATCTCATAATTATTTTACGCAAATCCATTTTATTTCAATTCCTGAAAAAATACCTGCTACAAGAATATGCAAGTCGAATGCTGAAGTTATAATTTAATGCTGGATTATTCGCAAAACTTTTTTGAAAATTCAAATATATACAATTAATAATGTTAGAAAGTAAGATTTTTATTTATATCACTACACTATTTGTAAGATATTAATTGTTTAAGAAATCCTATTCGAACACATCATCTTTCCGAAGAATTACTTAAAACGGCATTTACAAAAAAAATTGGTAGAATTTTTCACATTTCTTTTTTCTATAATATAGTATATTAAGCACCAAGTGAAGAAAGTACGATATTCCCTCCCGGGTATGAGTTGCTACCCAAGCCGAAGGAGAAGCTGGAAAACACTTAGAAGATGATGCCATACCTTCTAATCGAGCCCGTTTGCTTTCAGCCGAGGTACAAGAAAAAAATGTTATTAAATAAATAGTACAACAAATTTCTAGAGTCATCCATGACTTATTTTTACTACCAAAAAATAAAAATAAAATCAATTTTTGATTAAGGCAACGTTACAAGAGGCATGAAATTCGCAATGAGTTGTGATGAAACAGATGATAAAGATGCATACCTTGGTATTAGTTTTTTCAACACACCAGATTATTTTTCGTATAGCATCTTGTACAATTAATTGATTATTTCAGATATCATTCCGTTACATCATTATAGGAATTTTGTTGACAACTTTTTAGAAATTTCAATACCAAATGTAAGATTGCGTGCACTTTTAGTGATTAGATTTCCTTAAGAAAGATTATTAAGTGAATAACATTTTCTTTATAGGAAGTCTTCACCTTAAATGAAGTAAGAGTATCTACAAAATCAACTATGACAACTTAATATAAGTTTATCACGCAAAAAGTCTCGATTAATGTAGTAAGTCATAATGAATCGAAATGTCAATTATGTGTAAACAACGACTCTTAATTATACTCCACAGTATTAGTGTGTACGTGTGTATAAGAAACAGACAACACAAACTTACGATGTTGTCACATATTTGGCCATCCTTACCTCTTTGAAGTTTCTCTCCACTTAGTTATGAACATCCTCAACAAGATATCATAACGAAAAAAATGTGCTTTGGAGGACTCAGTTTTGACAACTGGAACTGGATGAGATTGCATTAAACTTTGGAGAATTTATAATAAACAAATGCAATTTTTCTAAACTACGAAAAATTTTTTCATAGAAAGATCACTGTTGTTTCATACATACATGATACACATATTTAACAAGGTTAAATAATTTAGAATGATAATGAACAAAATAAAAAAATCGTAAAATTTACGAATTTTCCAGAAATTTATTTTGATAATTACATTTTTTTAAATCCACCAAATTGAACAATTTGTACTACAATTTAACTGTCTCTGGGTTACACATACATAATACAATATCAAATAAAGCAATTTTTAATTTGTAATAAAGTTAATGATTATCTATTTTTTCCACACCACCCAGGAGGCAAATACATCGATTTTGTACTTATCAACTACAAGTTAAAAAAATACTAAGTGTAGTTATTATTTTATATTAATATTGATGANGATATTAACATACTTTAAAGATTTTGTAAAATTATCAGTTTTGTTTAACTCGAACCAAGCTGTTAGATGCATCTACCATTTCTTTATTACCTTTTCAAGTTTATTTTCTTCGAAAATTAATTTTTGTTTTATTCTCAAGGTGCTCAGCAGATTTACAACTTTGTGACTCCTATCGCAAATCGGATATTCTTGTACTCCCCATGCTGCTTCCATGGGACTTAAATTGACAATAAAATTGATATTTATTTCCTCAGTCCTTGGACAATCGAGTGAAAGGGTACGGAATAAAATAAGTGAGTAACGTTTAGAATTTTCTTCTTTTATCTAAAAGTGTAAGCTTTAAAGTAATATTGAAGCCCAGGTAAGTTAATAATAATGCACCCACAGCTGAGTAATACATAGTCGAAAATCGCAAAAAACGCCTTTTTTCGAACTTGAATTTTTTACTGAAAATCTGTCGGGCTTAGGTATATGTATTTTAAATGTTTTTTAGTTTAAAATGTGCTAAAGAATTTAAATAAATTTTTTGTCTACCAAAATTAAAAAATTTCATTATTTGTTCAAAAAATTCGTTAATAACAAAAATTTACGACTCGGACAGCGACCCATTATTGATAATTATGTTCAGCAGACTAAAATTTATTAAAATAATCTTGGTGGGTCAGTCCTAATTGAGAAGGTCATGGAAACCAACCTGACCCCCCTACTAAATCCTTGAATATATGATATTAAAAATTTATCATGAATATATAAGAATCTTATTATGAATTCTGTAACAGTCGAGTTTGATATAGTACTCATAAAAATTTATTAGTAAACTCAAATATATATTGTGAAGGCTACACTAAAAAGATTACAATTTTTTAATTTTTAAAAAGCCTCCAGTATTAGAAAAATATTTTGCATTTGCTTCGTTTACTTTTTTTTCTGCTGCCTGTGGATTGACTATTTCTAGACCCTTAAAAAACACAATTAAATTACTAAACACTATAAATTGTGTAACAAAAAAATTTCAATTGCCGTTTTTTTTTTTTTTTTTTTCAATTCTGTCAGTATTACATACCTGCAAGGGTGTGAAGGCAATACTAGACGCAGTTCCAGACACTTGCTTCTTAACTGTTGTGCTGCCACCCCAATGTTGCTGTTTCTGGAAATTTTTCTGTAATGTTTTAGAAATTCGAACTTTGGTCTTTTCATCGATTTGTGGTAACCGAATTCTTCCAGTTCCTGCTTTCCCAATTGTACCTCGTGAATATCCAAGATCTTCTTGGTAAGCATCACTCTCAATCTATTAAATATCGTATTGAGTTATTCAAAATGTCTTACAATAACATATGATATATTCATATATAATACAAAATATTTAATGACAGAGCTTTGATGGCTTAGTGGTTATCATGCTAGCCTCCTAGCAGGAACTCGAGGGATCGGAGGTTCAAATCCCATCAAAAATTGACCAGCTCATCGAGTAATATCACTATTGATTTTAATAGGTCAGCATGTTGGATGGTTTATTAGAAAATATCTTTTCATTAAACTTAATAATAGCTGGGATGTGCTTGAGACAATTACTGCGCTCTGTAAATAGTATGTAGTAGGATGGGTGATTAAGTCATCTAAGGGAAACTTTGTAAACCGACAAAAAACTCGCATACTCATGCGGAATGAAAAAAAAGGAAGGTAGAGATTAATGACAATAGAGTACGTAACAACCCTACGTGGAATCTTAATACTACTACTGTTGCTGCTACTAAGACTGATACTGGTACTACTCCTGCCACTGCTACTTCTACTGCTATCGAACTGTTACCGTTACTGCTACCGCTACCTTTACTGCTGGTGCTACCACTACTGCTACCGATACTGCTGTCACTACTGCCAGGTAACCACAATTGACATGGCTGCACGCATGTAAATAAAAAAGATGTGATGGGCTGACAAATCTAAACTTACTACCACTGAGAAGGCTACATGGTGGCACTTTTCGGTGCATTGTTTACGCCAGCTCGTTTTGGTGGGTTCTCTCCTCCAGTCAGGGGTTTGTGTGCCTGTTTCTAATCTCTCTCGGGCACTTGTGCTTTGTCTACATAAATAATCACTACACACAATCACTACTTTTACGCTGTGTACACAACGCAAGAGCAGTCTTCGCAGGTGGGACTAAAGAAGAGTGGCGACTCCCAGCCGGCCCGAGCAAGTAGCACCCTAAACACACTAAACTAAAATCTTTATGGTGCCCAATATATAAGGATTTACAGAAAGCTTTTAGTTTTACAACTATAAACTAAAGTAGAAGTTAGAATGAGTGCTGACCATGCATTTAAATTTTGTAGCTGGTTCCTGTCGTATTTCGACACCTTGGCAAGTCACGGAGTACAAAGTTAGCACTGTTTCAAGACAGCAAAGTGCCTTTAAGAAAACAGTGGGCTTTATAAGCGTATACTTAGGCAACCTTTATTATTTTTCTTAAAATATGGCTACTTTATTTTTATATTATCAAGCCATTTTGCTTAACCAAGTGACCATAAGTTGTTTTATTTATTATTTATAACTGTCAATTCCATGAAACACACGATTCAGCACTTGGGATATTATTGATACTTAATTTCTAGTGCAGCATAAGATTGATAAAAAAAGAGCCGTCACTGAACATGAGTCATAAAAATAAAAACTTTAAAATACTGGCTGTGAAGAGAGAGGTAGAGAAATAATGAAGATTCTTAAACTGTTGTTATATGATTAATATTTTACAGTGTCAATTTCATATTATAATATTATTTTCAATTATACTTATTTTTTAAGAAAAAAAATAAAGTCAACATTTTTCTTTACGTTAAGTATAAGGCAAATTAAATAATTATACGTGCATAGATATGTTTCAATTCTTATGATGCTTAGAATTACATATTTTCCTTGAATAAAATAAAATAGAGAGAAACAAGGAGCTCAAAAAAAGTGTTGATAGTTTTAGTTTAATTAGAAAGGTTATTCCAGAGGAACAGTAAATATCAACTGATGTAAAGAGGTGCAAAGGGGTGTGCGAGGATCACAAAATTTAGTGGAGGAGAAATTGGTAGGGCTCTATATATTTATATGTATCTTCCTAAATTATATAGTCGTAAGAGTTAGAGCAAAGTTTTGCTCCCCCCACCATCCCCCTGCTCGCGCTTTGCTCCCCCCCCCCAAAATAAGGTAGTTTTTCTTTCATTTTCTTGCATTTTTTGAGTAATCCTACTTCTTTGGTAGCTTCCCCTGCTCCCCTCAACTTCCATCCAGCTCCCTCCATACTCCCACCCAGCTCCCTCATAAGTAATGTGAATAAATTTGTGAAGCCTTACATATTAACTGTTACAAATAGTCTAATTTTCACATAGAATTTTATTTGAACATTACAAAAAATTTTGTTACAATTAACTTACTTACGATGTTTATTTTGATTACATACTCTAAAATGTCTTTTTAGGTGCTCTGCTCTTACATAACCTTTCCCACAATTTTGATAAATATTTTTTTGAACATTTCTTTCATAAGTTTTTAAATGTCTCCGTAAGTGATAATATCTTTTGAAACATTTTACGCATTTAATACACTTAAAATTTTTCTCAATGTTTTAGCATTCCTTTGTGACGCAAATAGTTTTTCTTCTTTAATATTATAATGCTACATGGATCACAGACAAAAAATTTTTTTTGTGAATTTTTTCGTGCAATGATAGACACTCGTGATTTGAAAATTTTGAAATACATTTTTCACACTGATAACAATTTGCATCCAGGATGGTGTATCTAGAAACTTATTACATAAAACGGACTGTTTATGATTTCATAAGTCTGGGTACTAGACGGTACTGCAATTTGCTTCTTGGATGAAAGATAAAATTTGCAAGAAAGTATAAAAATAGTAGTGAACTATGGAATAGTTTTTTTGTTACTCTAAAATTTCATTCCAAACAATATTTTCAATTTCAAATTTGTTTTCTGATTCAATTTGGATAAAATTTTTTTTTGGGTTTCTACATCTAGACAATGCAACATACAATTGCCCAGGAAAACATAATGGTTTTCTAAGGTATGATTCTAAGGCATTAAGACTTTGACCTTGAAATTTATTGATAGTCATAGAAAAAGCTAAAGTAAATAGAAATTGTTTTCTGTACAATATAAATGATGAAGAAGAATTGTTTGTATTTAGTGTTATTCTTGGAATAAAGACTTTATTTTCTTTTTTTCACCTGTGATTATTTCAGCTTCGATGTTGTATTTAAATAATTTTGTAATTCGTTATCTAGTACCATGTCAAAGTTCTTCAGATATGTTCAAGTTTCGTATTAACATAACAATAGCGTTAATTTTCAAATTCAATTCGTGTGGAGGAAGACCTTCTTTAATACTATTTAAATATTCTGTAGGAAAATTAATATACATATTATCGTCTGATTTATCTACTCCTTTGTGAGATGCTTTATCAATACTATAATTTGTTACTAATGTTCCTACCAAATTTTTTTGTTTAAAAAATGTGTGTATTCATTGTGAGATGTTAATATACCTTCACTTATAAAAGAATTATCATCATTATTAAAAATGTTAGAACATATATCATTTGTTTTCCATGTCTAAGGAATTATAAAAGTTTTAATTTAGCCTTCTTCTATATCCAGTAGCAATGAAGAAAATTTTTTAACAGTTGAACGTATATTGTTTTTTAAATAAAAAACATTAAACAAAGGCCAAAAATTGGAAAATTTTATGGTTTCTTGAACAATAGTAATTTTGCTTCCGTTTTTTACTACTGGGAGAATTTGACGAAAGTCTCTACCTAAAATTATTATTTTATTTCCAAAAGGTTTATTACTACTAGATAAATCTTTCAAAGTCCTATCAACTATTTCTAACGCTTTTTTCGGTTTTATATAAGCTTCATACCAAATAATTAGTTCTACATTACGTAATTTTTGTCTATTTGCCTCAAACTGGAAGAACGCACTTTCTACAGTGCTTAAGTCTAAAGGAAGTCTGAATGTTCTGTGAGTGGTCATTCCCTTTGGAAGCAGAATACAAGCAATAACTGTCCAAGCCATTGTAAAAAATTTTTTTTAATTGATATAAAATAATTAAATTATCTTTTAAGTAGAAAATTTTTTTCAGATCCACCAGGACCATCGATGAAAAAAATTTTTTTTTTAAATTTTATCATTTTTTAAAAAATAGTAATAGAAATAATTTTTTCATACAGATCTATCTCTAACTTTAAATTTAGACTCCAAGTTCTCTGTAGATGTAAAAGGAAAAATTTTTTTTCCGTTGCGATTTGGCAGTTCAATTCACTGTAACATTTTTGTTTAGATGTTATGTAACTTTTTAAAATGAATATAACGAAGTAAAAGTAAACGAAGAAAAAAATACCAATGGGCCAAAATTTTAGTTATAAAAATTTACCAATGAGCCAAAATTTTGGTTATAAAAAATGAAAAGAAAAAAAAACAATTAACTAACGATACTGTTAAATTAAAATCAATTTGTGATTGTAACAATATCGTAATTTTGTAATTTTTGACGATATTTGAAATCTTTCAATACGATGTCGTTTTAAATGTATAAAAATTAGGCATTAGTCAGGGAAAATAAAAAGTGATTGTTAGAAATTCATGTTATTAATTATGATCAATATACATTTATTACATATATAAATTTAAGAAACAATTAATATAATTCGGGTTTTTTTCCATAATTCGTAAATCTCATTTGCAACTACGGGGGTTGGTGGGCAGAAGGCGCAGGAGGCATACATAGTTTTAAGAGCTTAGAAATATCTATATACACATACAGGATAGACAGCTCATTCAAAAAAGGGAGCCACTAAAAAATAATAAAGCTCACCAACAAAAAGTCAAGGGCACATCTCTCTGTCTATATAAACTTTACCACTTTTATTTGAAATTAGCAGCTTGTTCTTCATATTTTCTTAAAAGCAGACCAGTTATCATTCCCCAGCGTCGAAAATTTATTCCCGAGTATTTTCGAAAAATGCCATAGTCTTCCAAATTCTGCAAAATATACTTTAACATATTATTTTCATACTAACAATTAATTTTATCATTTTTTAAGGCTTTAAAAAATTTTAATACAAACCTTGTTTTGAAAAAATTACACTTATAAC